ACCCTCATTCCAGGTCTTTTTTGACCTTTTTCCTATCGCTCCCCGCCTCGGCAAATATCGCTCGCCGTGGCAACCTATCTGGTGACATGCGTAACACATGTCCCAACCAGTGTATTCTATGAAGGTCAACTACTTACTCCAGTGGGCGACCGCGACCGTTTGATTTACTCTACACTGACATAACAACATCAGGCTACTGCTTTTTGCCAAATTAATGACTGCTAGAGTAGTGTACAGACTTGGATCTCATGAGCTGTTTTACGCTATTCAATCTGTAAATACGATAACTACTCAAGTCATACTTTGGGAAAACATCGATGTATATCAGTACTACATCCATCTAACCACCCATGTATTGCTCTACTAATACCTCAGAGGACATCCGTTTAAACTTTTGCTGCAACGGAGTCAGCTAGACTGCAGGCGTTAGTCTTTAAGCCTCAAAGTTTGTATTACATGGAACTCTCTCCCACCTCAAGTTGTTTGTGCTCTAACCATCGATTCATTCAAGTCACGGCTCCATGAAACATTGAAACACCTAACTATTCAGCAGCTGTGAGTGAACGTCATAGTTTGCTATTTAATTGTACTACTAAACGAACACAGTGAGTGTAATTACCCTATGGCACTCAATAATTATAAGTTGTATTGTACCCATAAGGAAAATTTGAATTTGATATTGAATTTGATATAGCTCCGCGGATCAACGAGGGAAAAGTTAAAAACTCTATGGACTAGTCATTGAATTGCGTAGATTCCTAGTTGAACTTACAGTTCAATGAAAATTGACCCAAACGGTAAAATTCCACTGAGTAGGATGAGTACCGTCGGTTCCATGAACCACTTTTTCTCCGGGATAGGGCGAGGGACGGCACTGACTCGGCACGGATCGTTCGCCAGACCGCACACGTTCCGGCCAATCACAGTTCCGACCAGATTCAGTGGAATGACCACAAACAGGACAATGGCAATCATCATGAACATGGTCAGTACGGGAATGGCCCGACTGGTTTGATAGTACACGGCGACCAGATTGACCACAAATGCACCGGAGCAAACAAGAAAAGGCGCCAGTGTGGCACCGATCAGGAATTGCCGGATCCAACGTTTGCCTGTCATTTGGATCGGCGGGGTGGGGGCGACATAGAAAAAAATGAATGATGAATAACTTTTCACACATACCAAAGATCTAGTTTTTCCGCGATTTTTGTGTTAATGATATCATCATCGTCGTACAGTGAGATACCTAGGGCTTCCTCTCGACGGTGGGAGAAGTCTTCGCACTTCATTGGACAGCTACCGCCC